AACAACAATGCCTTGAGATGTGTGTTTATAATGGCCTTCATTTTTCTGGGACGAATGGGTTTCTCTAAAAAAGACCTCTATGAACATTTTTCATCATACATCAAGACTCATCTTTCTCAAAAACCACCCAAATTCATTTTAAAGATTTTAGCGACTCTTTACTGCTCACCTTTGAGTGGTTTGTATGTCAGTGATGCTCTGTTTTTCTCCTCAGAAATAAACGAGTGCTTGTCTCAGCCGTGTATGAATGGAGGCACGTGTCGAGACCGAGTGGCCTCCTTCCTGTGTGAGTGTGAGTCTGGATATACTGGCCAACGTTGTCAGACAGGTGACTACAGCCTACACATCTGCCATCCATTCTTGATTTATTGGTAATTTGATGACGCTGTTAGAGATAGTGGATGACACCTGCCATGTGTTACAATTTATTCCATCCAATATATATAGCAGCAGTAGCAGACCCAAGTTTTGTTCTGTGTTCTAATACTGTTTTCAACACTCACTTGTTGACTCTCCCTCATCACTGGTGTAATGGGAAGTGGATTTTTCAGCATGGCAATCTTGAGTCACATCAGGTTGTTAAATGGATAGCTTGCTAACTATCTAGAGTAGTATGGATTAAGGAGTTACCCACATAAAAATTATTTTGTGTGGCGCAAATGGAAATTCAGCGAATGTTAGCTGTTGTTAAAAAAAAATAGCATCAGATCACAAAGTTTTCTGTGAAAATTCTGCTGTCGTGCTCGACTCGATCCTTCTTAAGGTTTTTAAAGGGCTTGGCTACCAAATCTCACTTGATCTGATAGAGCAATGGAATGGATGGAATTGTGATTTCCACTAAACAGGGGTTGATTTGTTAAAAAGAATTCTGGGGAATGGTAGATTCAGACTACAGGGGTTATTAAATTTCTATACAAATGCCATAAAAAACTATTTCACAATGAGAAGAAAGCTAATCTTACCCTGGCTGCTACACAAAAAAAAACAAAAAAAAAAAAAAAAACATGAAATTGTTAGCTAGCTAGTCAGTTTACTGCAATAGCCTGTTATGACATAACATCATTAAATATTTACACAGTCCCCAATGATTATAAACTCAAATGTATGTTATTCCTGGACATCTTTCCATGCTTAACAACTGTTATCACAGCTGTTCGAGGTTTTTGTTTTCTCTCTCTATCTCTCTATCTCTTTCTTTGAGGACAATCAGCAGATGGTTATCAATAATAGACATCCCAAGCTATACACAATGACATTAATCCAAAAAGGATGGAACAGGGGGATAATAGTGTTACAAAGATATATTGTAACTGGCAGGCCCTTGTATCCACCCTAACAACCAAGCTTGTCTGTAAAGCAAAATGGTGAGAACAAGTTGATGAAGGCATGTCAAAACAGTACTGGAATGAAGGACTGGAAGGTTGTGGAGTTTAATGTATTCCCTAATTTGTTTCCCTAATGTCTGATTCACTTCATCTAATTACCCAGCCATAAAAAAAGTTAATTCTAGTGTGAAGAGGAAGCTACAATCAGCAGTTCTTTGCATGGTATAACACGTAGTTCATCCTTATCCTGGATTTGCAAACAAGACTGTGAGCTTTTAGCCAAAGATCAGCCTTAAGCAGCCAAAGAAACCATGAACGTAATGTTAAAACCAGCAACAATAGCCTTTTAAAATATACCACTGACACTGCTAAAAGGTGATGAGTAACAAACGCTTCATCCTTTTATTAATAGAATGGCTTTATATCAACATGTCCGTATCAACATTATTACCAGCTTGCAATAAATAAATGTTCCTTGATTTTTGCTAGTACACTCAAAACTAATTGTAGGGGAGGGATTTCAAGATTGATGCAATTTAGCCTTTTTTTTTTTTGTAACTCTTAAAAATTCATTTTTTAAAATGACACTGACTACGACACTACATTTCAGTAGGGTCTTGGAATAATATATATCACAATCAATCTTAGCCAGTTGATTGCTGATTCAAAAATTTATTTATACAAATGAGGCTGTGTCTAAGTATGCATATGCATAAATTTGGGAATAATCAACATTCTGGGAAATTCCTGTGTAATATCCTTCTAAATAGAGATAAACATGTAAAAATTTATCATTGCGGGTCATCTAGAAACTGAATAAAATGATATTGAGATGACATGTGTTTCTACTCTAGTAAGTATGGTTTGTAAGGTTCATAAAGGAAATTGAAATGTATTGAAATTGAACTGAAATGCGTCATAATGACGCATACCCTGGCATCATGAAACAAGCTTGTCAGGGATATATGACATGATGTGCCAAGTGGACAGGGCTTAAGTTTCAGATAATGTGTTGATCGCAAGCAGACAAAAACATTGACGTAAACATTTTTCAATTGAGTTTTGACATTTTATTACTACAGTTAAAGAGAAGACTTATAGATGCTGTTTATCCAAAAATATGAAAAAAAAAAAATAGATTGATGTGGCAAAAATTGGTGTTTTAACCAATAGACTTTTGTCTTAATCATTCAAAAAATATGTTAACTCATCTTAGCAACAATATCTCATTTTTTACATGGTAACTTTGCTGAAAATGGCTGCATTTTGCTATTAAATGTGTAGCAGGGTAGAAAGTAACAAGAATTAGCAAATACACAAAATGTGGTTAACTAGCACTTGCACTAATGTAATGATTTACATTAGACAATATCACAACATCAATGAAAATAAAGGGAAAAGAATTAGAGAACTTAATTTTCTTCTTCCCATGATCTTCAGGACGTTCAGGTGATGCACCTTCCTATTGAACATGTGATTTATAGTGGGTTCGGGCAACAGTGTTCACTGAATGCTGTAATACACAACTAAAATACCTAAAAGTTATTTATCTGAAACATGCACATAGGTTGTTGTGAAGCACACTTTACCTATGTTTAAAATGTCTTTGACTTTTACTTTACATGCATATTAGCAAATGTAATGGCATCCCAATCATGGAATCATCTGACAGGGCCTTTAAAGGAAAGAGGCTTTACTGATATCAGCTTATTAAAATCCCTGTGCTTTACCTGTAGAGCAGGATGGATGCGAGTCAAATCCCTGCCAGAATGGAGGTGTGTGTCGAGGCTACAGGAGGAGGCATCTGTGTGTGTGTAAAGAGGGCTACACTGGGGATCGCTGCCAGACTTGTATGTTACACATCACTTTCTATGGTCACACTGCTGAAGCGTTCTGGACATGCAAGGTGACTGAACATTGTTAGACAAATCTCTTATTGCCCTCTAGTGGAAAACCCGTGTGTATTACAGCCGTGTGGGAACCGAGGCTTCTGTCGCAGTGACAGGAGAGGAAATTACAGCTGTGCCTGCAGGGTGGGACACACAGGCCGTGACTGTGAGAGAGGTACCATGTGTGATTAAGTCATGTTCCTCCAGGCATAGTTCCACTTAGTTAAACATACAATTATTTTAGATTTCATACGTTAAAGTTGGAGCTAATAATAACAGAGCAGATTATTCTGGTTCAATAGTAACACCTTAAAACAGTAATGGTTTGTGAGAATTTGCAGATAAGTACTTAATGTTTACCCAGCATGTTGCATCTAATCTTGAATTTATAATTTTGTATTTGTGCTGAAACATATTGAAGATTATCTCACAAATCACAAAAGTTGTACTGACTTAATACTAGTAAACAAAAAAATATAAGTTAGTACGTCAGGTATGTAGAATAAGCATGTGGACATTTTCATTCCACAGGAATGGTCTTATCATGATAGTTATCATGATATTTTTACATTGTTGTATTTTTAGAAAAATTGGAAAGATTTTATATTAATAAATTCATATTAGTAAATTAGGCCAAAGATGATGTAAGATTTTTGTCCACCATGTCTGTCAATCTGGTGAAAATAATTTACTGGATTGCCTTCTGCATGAAGGATCCATCAAATGATAGCTTCAAAATGGAAAAAAGCCACCCTCAGAAGACACTTTTCCTTATACCACCTTCCAAATGGGAAGTTCAAATCTTACCCAAAAATAGTGTTTATCAATACTGGTAGGAAAAAGAATGTAATGGGTTCTTTGGTTTATACTGTACCTCTGGGATAACCCATAGAAGAGAGTAGAGATTCTGTTTAAACACTCACTATTTTGAAGCCAGAATAATGCAAAATAGCACACATTATACCCCATGTTCCCAGATCTCCTGCCTCCATCTGGCTTGCACGTGCTGAGAGTTGAGGAAAGCGAGGTGGAGCTACAATGGGATCAAGCTGACACCAATCAGAACCTGATCAGTGGTTTTGCCATCACTTACGCTCCGATTGGGCGCAGCCCACGAAAAACAGACTTTCTGGAGAGGCAGCATTCAACCTATGTGCTACATGGCCTGAGTCCAGGACAACTTTACAACATCTCCACCTACTCAATCAAACGCAATTCCAACAGCAACGATATCAGCCAGCCTGCAATTGCCCTCATACGCACAAGTGAGAGCCCTTGCTTTTACCTTAGTGCTTTTCACCTGTCTTGCATGAATATTAGCTAATGATCCCAAAAGTAGCAACTGACATTGTTCATGGGTTAGCAAGGACCAGAGGGTAGGAGGTGTCCTGGAGTGGCTCTACAGTGGTACTTGTTTGAATTTCCACTCCCAACCTTCCAATTATTCTCTTAGGACTATGGAGCTACCTTTGCACTGTCAAAGAGAATGAAACCTCCCTCTTGTCTCTTGTGCTTTAGGACCTCGGAAGGTGGATCAGCTGCAGGTGGTGAACGTGTCCTCCTCCCAGGTGTGGCTACAGTTTCTAGTGCAGGCAGGCTGGCATGCCGCTGTCAACCTGGTGCGGGTATCTCTGGTGCCCTCGGATGGGAGTGGCACTCGCACTGCTGTCCTGAATGCCAGTGTTACGGAATACAGCTTCAGGTCAGCCATGAGATCAAATCATCGTCATGTTAACATGAGTGATTAGTACTAGAATCTACTGAATCTACTGCCACCAAGCATAGTGCAGTAGTGGCTCAGCGGTTAAGCTTCTGGGTTACTGATCAGAAGGTGGGGGGTTCAAGCCCCATCACTGCTGAGCTACCACTGTTGGGCCCTTGAGCAAGGCCCTTAAACTTCTCTGCTCCAGGCTCTGACCCCAGCTTCCTAACAAGCTGGGATCTGTGAAGAAAAGAACTTCACTGTGCTGTAATGTATACGTGACAAATAAAGGCTGTTTCTTCATTTATTCTAACCACTACAAGTCTCTCCTAATGCCATGCTTGCAGCATTTAGGCAGCTTCTTCATTTATATCTGCACTACACACTGAAAGTAGATTTGTCAAAAAAGTCTAACGTGTGTGTCACAGTTCTCTTCTTCCAGGTCAGATGTACACTGTAGATGTGCTGACACAGAGTGGACTTCGTCCTGAGGACCTGCCTTCCACCAGCCACTCTTCTGGACCCCTGCACTTCTGGACAAGTACGTTTACGTCTGTTTATGTCTAGTTATGTCTCTGTCTGTCACAGTCTCTGTTGTACTTTATAATATTCATACACACACATACAGTGCATATATAAATTGAAATCCACCGTCTTTGAAAAAATTTATTTTCTATAACTTCTAATCCTGTTTCCCTTCTATGTCAGAACCATTGCCTCCCCAGAACCTCTCGCTATCCCACGTGAGCTCCAGCACAGCACAAGTCACATGGGACCGGCATCCAAGGAGCATCCCTGATGGCTTTGTGGTGAATGTGACACATGGCCTAACCACTCGGAGCCGCTACCTGCCTGATGGAACTCTGAACATGTACACCATACGAGAATTGAGCCCGGGGCAGCACTATCGGCTTGCCCTGACCGCTGTGCGCAACACAGGCCACGAGCAGATCCACAGTGTGGCCCAGCACTTAGCCTTCACAACACGTGAGTCACAAGAATCAGCTGCTCTTTACGTTCCAGCTGTACAGTGTGTACAGACACTGATATACTTTGTGACATACTTATGAAAAACAGAAGTTGGTGAGACAGCCACCATTAAGCAAGGCTATTAAATCCTCATATATTTGCTTGGATTGGATTCTTCTTAAATATATAAGTAGATTTGAGAAGTGCTTTGGCCCAATTAATAAATGTAAATGTACCCTCATGCAGTACCTCTGGAGGAGCCGCAGAAGAAAGCTGAGAGATCTCAGGGAGGTCGGGACACTTCTAGCAGGCGCACTCAGACGCGCACTAAACTACAACATCAAGGCTCTGATAAAGACAGGGAACATTCTGAAGAACTGCCCAGGTAGGTATATGTTGGGAAGATAAAAGAAATGTTTCAGAATCTTTAGATGCCATGTTTTTATTAGTGCAAGCATTTTCAATTGGTGCCATCAAATGAAGTTTTTCTTTCTGGTCTCTCACAGATATACAGAGCTGATAGATGGTCGGGGGAGGATAACAGCCAAATTCACCAACTCACAGCGCAAAGTCATTCGCCATCGCACAAGTCAGTTATGATTTTAAAAAGACTAGGATTTACTTTTACATCACTTTGCTGCATGACATTGTCTGAATAATACAACTCACAGGACCTCAAGTCTTGGTTTTCAAAGATTCCTCACTCTTGTAACTACATAGCTTTCCTATTAGATTAGCCATAGTAACTGAATAATTTTAAGTATTTTCTGAATTATGTGCTTCAAGATTATTAACTGAATGAGTGCAAACCTTAAGCAAGTATTAGTAACTGGCTGTCTTTATGTACCACAGAGAAAACAGCATTGGCCACACAGTAAGTTAGCTTATCTAAAGCTACCCCTCCAGCAGTATTTGACTTTTCTGGCTAGCCAAGTTTACATTTACATTTATATTTATGGCATTTGACAGATTGGCCATTATCCAAAGCGACTTACAAAAGTGCTTTGAAGTCTCTATCAATAAATACATTCTGATACTGGTTCGCTAGGTCACGAACTAAGAATACCATCAGTCCAAAAACTCTATTGGGGAGGTAATATAGTATGATATATTACTTATAAAATATAAGTTCACTAATAAGCTAGCTTAGGGCAACTATTATATTGTGCAATTAAAACCGAGAACTAAGCTAGCTAACAATGGCATAAGTATTATATTGTGATTTAAACCATTAAACAAATTTGAAGAATCTAGATAAAATTAGGCTGATTATTATATTGTGTGATCAATCCAACTTTAGGGTAACTATTATCCTGGTCTGGGTCACAGTGGATCCAGAGCTTATCTCTGGAATGCTAGGCACTAGGCAGGAATACTCTCTGGATCACAGGACACCATTCACACACACACTGACACACTCATTCACACCTAGGGACCATTTTAGAGTAGGCAAATGACCTGCCAGCTTCTTTTTGGGAGGTAGGCAGAAACCAAAGAATCTGAGGGAAACCCACACAGACAGTAACCTGAGCTCAGGCTCAAACATGGGATCCTGGAGCTGTGAGGTGGCAACACTACCCACTGCACCACTGTACTACCTGCTATTATATTTTGTTTAATGGAAACCATTACCTATGATTGCTATCACAGACACACATACACAAACAGTTGCACTATGGACAAACAAAAACTCTTGCACTCTTGCACTATGAGCCAATTTTTTCACACTACACCCCTCTAAAAGCTGCTAAGCATTCCTCCAAAAGCTGCTAAACATATTTTGTTTGTAATGTATGTGACAAATAAAGTACCTTGAACCTTGAACCTATCACATGTCGTTTTCTCCCTTCCAGATTGATGTCTGTCATGCTTTAGAGGTAGACAGAGCTACACAGTAGATACTGGCAATAACTAAATTTGGTGCAAATAGTGTACACTGTTTTTACATGTGTGTGTGTGTGTGTGTGTGTGTGTGTGTGTGTGTGTGTGTGTGTGTGTGTGTGTGTGATGCACTGCGATGAACTGGCATCCCATTCAGGGTCCATTCCCACCTCAAGGCCAGTGTTTCTGGGATAGGCTCCCGATCCTCCATGAAAGTGTTTACCGAATATGAATGAATGAAATACTGAATAATAAATGAACTAGAACTCATTTGCACTGTAATTTCATACAGAACCTGAACCTCCAATCAAATTAGAGAGAATGGAGGAAACAACTAACAAAATCAGTCTGGCTCTGGAGATCCCTGAAGAAGTGACAAAGAGGAAAAGTGGTGGGTGTTCTTTTCAATGAACCATAAATATTATCTTAAGAAACAGCAGCTCTCTTCAGATTCTGCTTTGGGTCTGTCAGTGATATTATGACCCTCTAATTGCTTCCAGCTGAGGCAGAATCTCACAAAGTGTCAAGGTAAAGCTGCATGACACATCCCATTACAGTCAATGTTATAATAACAAGCTAAAATATGCTTAAATTTTACTTTCTAATAAATATCATTTATTCTTTTAGGCCTATTATTTTATTGTATTCTATGTTTTTTGGAATGTGTCATTGAATTAAGAGACACAGAGGCAGCAGAGAGATACAACAATGTATAGTGTGTTGTAAAATGTTTTTTTTTTGTGTGTGTTGCAGAGTCTCAGCGTGACTGCAGAACTCAGCCATGTCAGAATGGAGGAACCTGCATACAGAGTGAAGACACTTTCAGCTGTGAATGTCCAACGAGCTTTAAGGGCAGACAGTGTGAACTGTGTAAGTCCAACCAGCAAATCACACTTTATCACACCCTCTCTTTCTCCGAGTCAAGAAACACTCTAGACACGTTCGGATCCATGCCAGATGTTTTCCAAGTGAGGGGTGGCTAGCTCACCTGTTCCCACACTAGTGCACTTTGTTATCTAGTTTGGATATCACATTCCTCATTCAAGTGTTTTGCATTGAGAGAGAACATGTTTCTGAAATAACGTCAGTGAATTGTTTCTTCGCATTATTGCTTGATTAACCTCTGTGTGTGCCTCTCTTTCTCTCTCTCTCTCTCTCTCTCTCTCTCTCTCTCACACACACACACACACACACACACATATTTGCCTGTAGATTGTCAACGAGTAAAACATCCATGTACCCGCCTCTACTCTGAAACAAAGAGTGTGCCTGTATGGGAGGATGGAGTCTGCCATTATCTGTAAGGGATTTTTTTTCTGTCTTGTGTAGCCCAGATTATACATGCAGATAGAAAAAAGCTGTATGCAGTTGTATGTAGAAGTTTTGGTACATGCTTGCTTGATTTGCTGCATTTTTACATGTAGACAGATCCCAAATACCTAGCGTTTATGCAAGACCTAGAATATTTAAGAACTAGAATCATTTTGAGGGAAACATTCTTAAAGCAAGAATTCCTAAGCATGACACAGCTCCAGAATCCTTGGTTTGAACATGCTGGTAGATGAATTGGGTAAGCTAAAAATATGAACCCTTAGATAAGTGTGTATGTGTGTGTGCACGTGCCACTTTCCCACAGCACACCCAATGTTCCTGGGATAATTGTGTGAGTATGTGTGTGTGTGTGCATGGCATATTCCCACCTCACACCCAGTGTTCCCGGGATAACTGTGCAAGTGTGTGTGCATGGCATATTCCCACCTCACACCCATGGCTCCAGGGATTGGCTCCATATCCACCTTGACTCTGACCAGCATAAAGCGGTTACTAAAGATGGATACAGGAAACAGGATACAATCACACAAGATTTGAGAAACAAGAGATCATAATAAATACAATGAATAAACTAGGGTAACATTATACAAAAAGACATGAAATAAAACAATCAAATTTAGGGTTTGCAGGTATCAGTTTAAGATTGTTTTTTGCACAGTTAGTGTTGCATTTTGCGATGAGTGTGGTAAAGCAGGGTACAGTAGCTAATCCAGTGTCCCATTGTATAACAGTCCCTGGGAAGGTATAAGAAATTCACTAGAGGCTGTGGAGTGGTGACGTGTCAGGGCCTGACTGATTAATATCTGTACTAAATACTAAAGAAAGAAATCAAAGACATTACATTTTATGATAAACTTGCCATGTTCCTTTCTAAAGCCCCCAAAAATATGCTTGCTGTGACACACTGTCATAGCAAAATATTATTTTTATTAGCTAGTGTTTTAGAAAAATAGTGGTTTAAGAAATCTTTAAGA